GGAGGGCGGGGGGGGGGGGGGAAGGAGAGGCAATATACCGTGTTCTTAACTACCATATTGCTTACATTAGTGTCAGTAAAACACAAAACTCGTATCTTCAATTATTATCTTGTACATTCTGTGTTGCTCAATACCTATTCAATCTATCTATAGTATTATCATGAAGTTATCTGATGAAATCTACAAATGAAGTTTCATTGCTGAGGAATAATGGGAAATTTAAATTTTCTAAACCTACAGACTGTACTTTCTCATTGACTTCGATTAATGTATGCGTAAGAAACTCTTTACGAGGCCATAAGTTTAGAAACTCCATGCGCGTTTTTATAATAAAAATACGTTTGATGCAATAAAGGACCCCTACTTTTGTCATAAATGTAGCAAACGCGCAGCTCTGGGAAGTGTTTCTGCTTTATAGTAAGTAAATCAAACAAGCAGTAATTATTTGGATTAAAATTGTATTCACGTTCTTGCTCTGATACATATATTTAACCGCTTTAGTTGAGGCATAACATTTTCATATTCTAGGGAAGTAAACATTACTAAATAATATCTTTCCATATGCTGTAAGAATGAGTAGTCTATTTTATTCATTTTGCTGGTTATATCATGAAGTCGCTTTGTCCTACTACAAAGAATAAGCAAGAAATACATACAATTAAGAGGAAAAATTGGCCCAGACCCTGATTTCATTTCTTCTGTATGATACTTGTCACACATGCTCAATGGCTCAGACGATATACAGACGGGATGCGGGCTCGAAAGCCGAGATTCGATTACCCGCAAGGGTAAAACATTTCTCTACTCCGCAGCGTCAAGATCGGCTCTTGGATCCACCCCGCCTGCTGCGCAATGAGTACCGGCGTATGAAGAGCTGGGCTTGCGAGGCTGGGCATTCGCTTCCATGTAGTGCTGAGGCGGTGGAGCTACACCTCTGCTCCCCCATATGTCTTCTGCGTCTTAATTAAGCTCAGGGACAACTTCACCCTTAACGTTATTTGCCATATCTGTCTCGAGGCAGCCTATTTTCCAACTGCTTCTCAAATTGTATAAATCCTCTCATGGTCTTAACAGTGTTAATGCAATAACGAGTAATACGAATCCTTACCAATACGTATATAGTCGTGTATATATATATATAAAAGATATAAATTTTTAAAATCTTATGTTACATCCCAAAAAGTGACAGTTTTGTCACGACCACTGCATATATTCTAAAAAGTCTCTGCCTTGGAACATTTCTGTAACAATCCCATTACAAAATTAATATTATTTGATGTATCATTTGTGTATGTAGAGACTAATTTGGTATCATTTTTGGTGCATACCGAGCTCCTCGTTTTCAGAGTAGGAGACTAGCTTCTCTTGCAGCTATAATATCCCAGTGTGGTCGCATACAGAGAGAGAGAGACAGCAGAATTTTCATGGTGGTCTAATTATCGTTTATAACACCTCAACGTTCACATAAATTTAATCTTCATCACCAAGGAGTCGGGGTTCGATTCCTGGTAGTATCAGAGAATTTCCATTCTCCACAGTGTCCAGACCACCTCCGGGGCCCACTCAGCCTCCTGCCAAATAAGTACCGGGGGCTCTTTCTTCTGGCCTAAAGTGGCCAGGTTTGAAGCTGACCACTCATCTCTGTCCAGTGCAGAAGTTGGTATTGCAAAGAGCTACACTTCCACTCCCCATATATATTCATGACGTGGCGCATCATTAAGCACGGGAACACTACATTTACCTTACTGTCATAGGCCTGGAGCCGACACACCGGTATATAAATTATTTTATATGAACAATTTAATTTGGATTGGAAAATGACATTAGGTCTTAAGCAGTTCTGATGGTGTAGACGACTTTGAACTAAATCAGAACAAGGACTAGTGGTGGGCTATTTTGGGTACGGCACTGAATCCTTGGATTCTCTCATGGTAAAGAATTCCTTTAACCTGCTGTGTAATTATCAACTGCTACACTAAACACTTCATTGTGTAATTAACTGATCGTGTACTGATAAAGCACATTGCTCAAGTTAGGCATCCAGCCAAGACAATACTACAAGTTAAGCCATGGCCGCTTCTTTTTACATCTTTTCTAATTATTTACTAACTCTCATTTTACCATTTGACACTAAACTGTTAGAACTGATAGCGTCGTTAAATAAGCCACGAATAAACTAAATTCAACAAAGCTTTGGGGCTAATTTAATTTGGTTCATGTCCGCCAGATATAAAACCTACGTTGCTTGAAATTTAAATAATTTATAATTTTTAAAAATAATAAATTTCGAAGAAACTTACGCATACATTAAAACATTAATCTCATTAAGATGTACAGCTTTTATTATTAAAATTTTTAATAAAGAACATATTTAATGTTTAATTTAATTAATTACTGATTTGTACTATTGTGATGTATAATGTAATTACCCTTGGAAAACAGATATTGAGGCGTACTTATAATAAATACATATTAAGGCCAGTGAGACACACGAATCCTAGACAGCGGATTTAGAAAACGTGCTTGGAGTAGATCTTCAGCTTTCCGTTTTTGTTGATGCTGAGAACTAATTTATAGTTCCTGATTTCGTGCTTGACTCCAACATGTGATGCAAAGAAGCTTTCATTTCGCGCTCTGATTAGAAGACCTTCATCATTATTATCAAGTCTCTTTGCATGTGATGTCTTTTTAATGCATATAGGTAGCTTATTTATCTGCAGACGGGAAACAGCCGTTTGTTCCTGTAGTAAAGCTTTATGTTCAGCGGGGCTCTAATTTACCGGTAATTCAGTGCGCTTGGCGCCCATGTTTCTAGGCTCTTCACGGCTACAGCTGCACTGAAGCTTAGCACTCTCTATACATTTATTCATGTATTCAGCGAGCGACACTTTGGTGCCTCCGTAACTCATAGAACATGGAAGTTCAAAATTATCGCACTTTCTGTGTCACAGTAACCCTTCCTATATATCCGTAGTGCTGGCAATTTATTCGCATTTTCTCCCCTCTTTTTGTTTCACGTACCTTAAATTTATCAGTTCTTTTTGCTCGTCGACCATCCCACCATTCACCCTAATTTTCTTTCTCTCTCACCCATACGTGTATCACGATGCTATTTTTTTTTCTTCTTTTTTTTTCAGATTTCCCGCCAGAGGCAAGTCACGTCCAATCAGGTTTCGAGATAAGAAAGAACCCCTGCCGTCCCCATGATCCTCATCTGTCTCCGGCAAGACAAGCTGCAGCTAGTATCCGGTCTTTGTGTTGAAGTGACGTCACGCTGGCTATATATAACGCACTCGGATTTATATGCAAATACATATTTCGGTGTGACCGCGCAACTTATCCAGTTGTTAACTGCACTGTTAGTATGAAATGAATGAATCTCTTTCATAGTGAACTAGAAGTAAAAATAATACCTCAAGATACAGCACTAAAAGTTCTGAATCACGGGCTTCCAAGTATAAACCACGGACCTACCGTGACAGTTATTCACTAGCACTGAAACAAACTCTCGGTCTCGGATACATTTAGGGCAGTTATGTCGCGTTAATGGATTCTACTTATAATTCGCAATGCATAAAACGCTCATTAAATGAATTTCACTGTCGAGTGTCGGGTACTTCTTCGTATTCCGAAATTCCCGGGTCCATCTTCATTCCGGAGCTGACTGTTCTGACTGGTATTCCTCAGTCGTTCTAGGCAATACTTCAAAAGGGGCCACTTGCTATCGGATTTTTCCAAGTCACTCACTGTCATCTCCCGTTATATAAATATTAACATTTTATTATATACAAAATCTTTACACGAAACTCTTTTTGTGAGGAAATGTGAGACACATGGCTAGAACTTCGTGAAAAGTAGAATTTTACTTCAACCCCTATAAAATAAATTTATTTTCCCTCTTCAACTTTTAATGCATATCCCACATAAAATTTAATTGAAATCTGCTCAGTAATTTCAGAGATGATTCACGTGGGAGGACGGATATACTAACTAAGAGGCAGAACACAGGACCTTCCTATTATACGTGCCTTTGAAAAACTCTGTGTAAATAATGCATAAACGCAACATGCAATTAAATATTGTGAAGAACTTAAACGATGAAACATAGAAGATCAACAGTGAAATTCTGCATTTTGCCTGTAGACTGTACATGGTATATGTGATTCGTATGGTTCTGAGAATACACAGCCATCAGCTTCCCTAAACAGCATTACTCGATTGGTCTTTGTAGGGGAGATGTGTGTTTCCTGCATGGTAGGAACAAAAATTTTTTATTTAGAAACATGTTGCTGTTGTTGTTGCTGCTGTTGTTAGCCCACTGGAGAAAGTGCGGTGCCAACTAACAAAGTCACTCCCCAGCAGATGGCAGACTTGTCCTCTTGTCGAAGAGGCGGCACCATTTCAAAACACGGTAATGAACATTGGGGTTCCATAAAATGCTGGCAAGCCTTTCAGTAGCTGTACAATTTGTGCCTTCTCAAGAAGGGCTCAGCTGCATGAGTGAATGGGTGATTACAGAAAATGACTTTATAAGTTTACTTAACCTTATTGGTGTGTAATATATCTACATTATTCTGAGATGGTTCTTAAAATATTTTTCAGTATCCAGAGAAATTTTCGAATGATAGATCTCCGACAGAGTACACCTCAAGTTCATTATTTTGCAAATATTACTGATATAATGTTAGCAGCGACTTATACACGCCAGTACAGTTGCCGGTTAAAACAGAATTGTACTGTGTATGTAAACTGCAAGTACGTAACGAAACTGCAATCTGTATAATTATTTACAGTTAATCAATTAATTAATGAGCCCCGGCTGGAACGGCACCGACAACCTGATGTTTTACATTTTTGTTTGGAGTATAAAACTAATGTAAACTGACTGTCACATTCAGATGTATATTTTGTTTGCAAGAGTAGTTTGTAAAGCTTACTGTCAGTCACAAAAACGCTAATGACAAATGTATTTAGTATTTTCATCTAATTGCATTACTAATTCACACTTGTCGTAACCTATTCACAAATACGAGTAGTAAATTGCTTACTCCAATACACGTTTTCATGTGTTCAAAAATACATAAACTGAAATAAGCGTAAATTAATTATACACTGCAGACACGTATACAACCACAGAGAACAGTTCCATTTACCCGAAAGAGGTTTATTTATTCTATACTTTAAGGGCGTTTCTCAGCTATATAAAATATACTACGTCATAGTAGGATAACCGCCTCTATGTTCTAGTGGCCAGAGTTCCTGGTTACAGATCCAGAGGTCATAGGTTCGGTTTCCGGCGCTACCAGATTTTCTGAGAATTAATGGGTCAGGAACGGGGTCTACTCAGCCTCGTGAGGATAACTGAGTAGCTAATTCAAGGAAATAGCGGCTCCGGTCTAGAAAATTGAAATTAACAGCCGTGGGGATTCGTTGCGCTGACCACGCGACACCATCTATCCGCTAAAGTTGACACTAACTTCGCCGACAAGCGGATGTCGCTCGGTCGGTATATTTCGCTTGCGGACTCAAGCCACGGATTTTTTTCAGTAGGATTGCTGACAGTGATGAGGTTGAGTCCATGAGGACGTAATGTCCAATACACGTAAAGGGTATCTGAATAAGGCCTCGAAAACGTCAATATAGGTAATCTGTAATCTGATCGTAATTCAAACCCATTACCTCTGGAGTTCGAAACAAGATACTACCCACCCAATCGCTATGTTCAGTCGAAGCAGATTATTCACAAATGATATGATAATTTTTCTTATATACTTTTAGCTTGGAAATTGTTCACATCAATTACCTATTGATGTATCAGTTTATTTTTGCTGCATTTAATTCAGTTCTCTACAGTTTATATCCTTCGTATACAATCGAAAAATTTCCGTCCATTGCACTGAATAACTCCGAAATAGTAAGCAGCCTAAAAAATATACTTCTAACAAAACAGTCCGAAGAGAAAAATTCCGAAATCTTCGAAAAATTCCGCAGTCTGGACCTGAAGGAGACCTAGGCGAGATTTTGTATTCTGCAATGAATAATCTAATATGTACATATCAATTCATTCTACAGCTATAAATAAAGCAAGTGGATATTTGTTATCAAAAATCATGTTAGCAATTAACACCGGTAATTAAAGGACAATGAGTCGGTCTCGGTAGCCGAGCGGTCTAAGGCATGCACTGTCTTCGCTCGCTCGGAAGCCGGGATCGTGGGTTCGAATCCCACTCACGGCATGGATGTTTGTGTGCGTTTTTCTGTGTTTGTCTACAGGTAGAGACCTTGCGACGAGCTGATAACTCGCCCAAGGAGTCCTACCGAATGTGTACGATCTAGAAAAACCGAAGTGAACGGAGTTCATGGAGGTAGGCCTAGGTCCACTGGGGCTGTAGTGCCAAGGAAGGAAGGATGGAATTAAGGGACAATAATATAAGTTATTTTAATATTTAATATAAATTACATCAGCATTAAACAATATCACTTTTGTTGTATTTTATGATGCAGAAAGACCCCTTGTATAGAAAGTTTTAAATCCGAGATATTCATAAGAGGACCTACTGTTCAGAAACGGACTCTGAGCTCCGAATCTTTCTCAGAAACTATGATCGTCTATATTGGGCTGCAGACTTTAAGCAGATGTAATACATACAGAAGTCTGATGTATTGTATATTTGGTTGTCTGCAATGGGAGAGAGAGGCCAAAACAGTATTTTCAATGAAAGATTTAAAGACAAGCTTATTTATTTTTTCTTTGAAAGAAATATATACATTGCAGTAAATGCCAGTAACTTAGAAGTAAAGACAATTGCTTATTTATTCAAACGAAATTTTTAACCACAGAATGTCTCGTCAACATAAAAGAATGTCGTTATAAATATAGAACAGTGAGTTTAAGCGTCTACTGCCACTCAGAACTCTCTGGGTTTCAACACGGTAACACACACTTATTTTCGTTAATTCATTTACGAAGCTTAATCGAGCAATTGATTCATAGATTATTAGACTGTTTAAGCACTCTGTTTCAGCAGCGAAGTTTAATATTGTCGAAGTAGTAAGAAGGTGATAGTAACTAGTGGGAAAATAGCATTTGGAGCGAAGAAATTGTGACCTACTGCGAGGCAGCACAGCTATCTTGAATTTTCCGAGAGAAACTGTAGAAAATCAGGAATATCTATTATTATTATAGGATTCTGACGATGGTGTATAACACNATTATTATGATAGATTCTAACACAACCAGCAGCCAACCTGTAAAAGCAAATTTAAGTTTAATATTACTTAAAGATGGTGTGACAATGTTTAATAATAAGTGAATAGATATGTATGTACAAATGTATATACAGCTATACTGATGTGGAGTAAATAAGTGCAGAACAAATTATCATGACAGACAGAATAGATACAGTGGTATACAAAACAAGGAAACAGAAGAAGGCATGTCTGACTGGCATGACAAAGCCACAAGATATGAGCAGGAAAATAACAAAAGTATGAGTTTTACACAGAAATATAAGAAAGTTTTGAGAATAGAGAAACCAACAGGAATTATCAAAAAAAAAAGTCGTAAAATGTGTTCATCGTTTATAATCGGGGGAAAAATTCCTTCTGTCGCAGAAAGGTCTGTTCCATTAAAGCTTTTACGTGTAGTAAGCAAATGCTGTAATTTTTCTGACAATGTTCCGAACATGAAAAACCTGGAGAACCAAAAACAAATATCGAAATAATAACGATGATGATGAAGAAGAAGTTTAAGAAGGAAAAGATTATATGAGTGCATAAGCAGACCATGCCTATGATGTTGGTTTTCAGCATTCCTTTTTAACTTGAATTGCCAGTTTACAAAAATTTATCAGAAATATATGTTATCTTTAAAGCCAGAACTCTTGGTAAAAACTAGGATTTACGTGTCGCACCTAGACTTCACCAAATAATGTCGACATGTTTGAAAATCTTTAATTTATAGAACCCGAAATAAAAGAAAAAGTCGATTAGAAAAGTAAGTTACTAAATACATATCCTTCTCCATATTTTGCCTATATATTTTTATACTCTTTACATTTTAAACTCTTTATCATTAGTGAAAAGCATATTCTTACTTTTATGGTTTTCCCGTGGAGGAAGGAGTCTTCAACAAGAGTGAATGATGAAGAACCAAAAATAAGGCACAGTAGTTACAGATTTTACCAACACTGTTCATTAAACCCCAGGTTCGGCTCGCAAATTCTAGGTTTTACCAAATTTCGGTCTTTTACGGTGACATATACAAGAATTGAAACATAAAATAAGTTCACTTTGAAGTCCGTATTGAGCATGATACAGCTGTGCATATTATCAACTTCTGTTCTGTTGTAATCGAAATGTTCGTTTTAGTAGCACCCTGAACACGTGCAGGCCAGTGTACCACATGTTTGCTTATCTAACTCGAAACAACTGGATAGACTTGTCAGTTCTACCATTAGCTGTGGACTGCAAAATGATGTGATCGCAAGACATAAGGCCATTACTGCTACGTGTTGGTCTCGGTAACACGAGGAACTGAGTACTAACATTGGCGGTCAGCGTAACTTCCTGATTTGTGGCTGCAGTTTCCGCCTGATCCGCTTGCTTCACGCACCCTCCGACCACATTTGCAGAATATCTGGTTCAGATACGTTGTGGCTTCAGCTTTCCGCCCAATTAGTTATATAACTTCACAGGCGATGCAACCATTAAGTGGCAAAATTAGAGAAATATCACACAACGTGTGGCGGGGGGATGGGATTTGGTCTCGAACTGTGAAACGTTTGTGGATGTGTTGTGCCAAGTTTATTTTGTGCAAACCGAGAGAAAGATCGTTTGTGTTTGTGTTTGTACGTAGGAGAGAGTGAAACAAAGACCCAAGTGGAAGTGAGAAATGTACATTCGCTGGAGATGCAAATGAAACGAAATTATAATTTTAATATGTACATTTTTCTAAACAGCTGTTTAACCTATCCTTCACTTAAGATGTTATTCTCATTTTAATTACTGGTGACGAAATTATTTTATACGTTTTTTTTTTCACCATTTTTTTCATTTATCTTAAAATCCCATATAGACAAGAGATTACAACACGTGAAATTTTATCAACAACATATAATAATTA